GTCCGGGATCCCGGGATTCCGGGATTAACATTCCTAGTATGTTTGTACATGTGTACAATATATACACGGCCATGTGTACAGGTTATTATATATGACAGTAATTTTTTTTCATTTTACATTCACACCACTGACAACCAATTTAACCTGTCACAATTCACAAAGCGCGAGATTTAACAGAAATCGGCAAAATATTGACCCTTCATCAATTACATACTGGAGCCCGTGGTGCTTTGCTACAGCATGTTATTAAAAACTTTTTCTAAATGATTTTCAAGCGGGAAACTCTACTGAAATTTTTTTCAATGGAACACACTTGACAATTCGTTTGATATACCCGTATATACATACATAGTACGTACGACATGCTTCCTACCAGCTCTTCGCCGCCGGCTTAAACAGATCACCCGACAAATCGTCTGCTCCAGGGACTTTGTTGTTCCTAAGTCGGGTTATTGCTACTGTTCTTACCTCGTCTTGGTCAAGAGGAGTAACGTGAGCTTCGTCCCTGTACATATTGTGGCGACTACTGCTAAACACGAATGGAAAGTCAAAGAAAACTACTTAAAAGTGTCATACGGTTCCAGGAAAGATGGACGGGAATGTTCGATAACAACAACTTTCGATAAAACCTTCTACAGTTGCTATGAGTGCAAAGCGACGCGGGTATATAAAGACGATGCTACAGTTCACAAAAAGTGCAGACACCTTAATTGTCTTAAAAGGTATTGTAAATCGTTTGTTTTATAAAATGCTTAGTTCCACTACAATTTGAGCGTTTATTTACCAATCCAATGAAACGAACCTGAGAATATAGGAAATCCGTCGAAAAAATAAGGCTTATCGTAACAATTAGTGTCAGAAGTGGATTTGTTAAGTAAATTTCAGGGAGAAAGTTTTCGAAATGACGAAGTTCTATGATTTGACGATACCGCCGCTCAAAAAAGGAATTGGAGGAGACATCTACGAAGGTTGAATGGAAGAATAACCTTTTTGTTCATTGAAGGATATACAGCAAACATCTACAAAGGCTGGAGAACCGAGAAGACTTCTTGTTTATCAACGGGTATGGACGTGAACATGTTATTGGCTGCCGTGTCGTAGATGATGCAAACACAGCTAGAAACACAGAGCTCGTAGTTGTCGTCAGAGGTGTCAGAGAAGCTGTCATCATGGCTAAAAGCACAGGAGGCACGTATTTCATCCCAGCTGGAAGCGCGGGATGCCGAGGTTACACAGTTGCAGGAAAATTTGCGATAGATAGAGACAGGATAAAATCGTAGGGGGAGAGAATAAGATCCAAGTACAAATTAAGGAGAAGCAGGACAAAATCGGAGGTAAGATAGATGAGTTAGTAGGTCGTCTCCTTTATTTGCAGTTAAATCGTCCAGCCACTTCGACCAACGCGCCTAAGGTGAAAACTCCATGCTTTGATGGCACGACTTCTTTCCAGATCTTTAAGCTCCAGTTCGAAAGGACGTCTACAGCAAGCAAGTGGAGCATGCAAATCATGCGGACTATTCTCGACTGTGTAAAACGACAATTGATGGGTGCCGTGAAAAGACGTAATGTTAGTGAGCACAGGAAGCAGGTCTGGTTAAGACGGAACTGGAGAACCGCTACCAAAAATCCAACCAGACAACCAGCAATTAGCTTCTAAATTGGGAGATTGGCTCATTTGGCTTATGCGAATCCATAGCCGGTATTTCAAGAAACTGTCTCGTGAGCTCGGGCACAGGAAACGGCAGCACTCCTAAGTAGTGCAGGCTGAAATCCCGAAACTGACAAATAAGATAATTAGAAAAATGATAAAACTGCTGGGCGAGAAAAAGGGCGACTCTGGCAAATGCTTCAAATGTGGAAAGCCAGGGCTCTTCGCCCGAGATCGCATCGAAAGTTCCAACAGGACGAAACAGAAAGCTGATCTGAAGAGCTGAAGGCGTTAAAGTAAAACGAGCCAGCAGGAAGAAGCTAGTTCTGGCCGGAAGCGAGCAGCCTCACTGTTGGTGGATGTGTGAATGGGCCCGAGCGAGTGCTGACTGTTGATACAAGAAAGCCACTTAATATTGTGGATGATATCATAATTGGCGTGGACTTCCTGCATGGTCAAGGCATGAAGATCGAACTGGATTGAAATTTCTTGATATATCAACACAGGGAAGTGCCACTTAAAATTGGATACTATAACCAGTACTGCAGCAAACGGTTGCTCTTAGAGCAAACACAGCAGAGTCCACCAAAGGCGGAAGCGATTAGTTGGGCAGAGGGCTGCCCAAAAATAGTGGAGAGCTAACGTTATTTTAAGAGGTGTAGAATCAAAAGTTATGTAGCGGTGCCAATTCACTGTTGTAAATACGATCATTTTCCCGAAAAATTACAAACACAAATTATAACCAACGGTATTATGTATGTTTTTTGGGTCGTTAAATATAAATCTGAAGTCAAATCTTTGCAATCGGGCCCTTATCAGATTTTAAATATTAGAAGTAGCGGATCCATTTTGGATCTACCGTTTATGATGGAAAAGCTTAAATCAGGGACCATAACGGATGTGACTTTTACTAAATTAATTACTTTTTAATGGTCGCTTCCTGATTTTTATTTTTTGCTCAGAAAAAAATCGTTTTTTTTAGTTTTATTTTGTTCTCAGAAATAAAACATAATTTTTGGATCATCATTTTTTGCTTAGAACGCAAAAGTAGCTTCTAGTTAAGGAATAATGTTAGGATTGAGACTAAACCTAAGGCAAATCCGAAGACAAATACGAATACGATGGCGAGGCCGAAGACGAAGACGAACACGAGAGCGAACACACATATGAGCACGAACGAAAACGAACGCGAGATAAATAACTGAAAAGGAATTATGTGACACTTAAGGCTGAGGGCTAATATGTACTTAAAACTAAACCCAAGACAAATCAAAGAAGAATACAATAAGGATGGATAAGCCGCAGACGAACCATGAAACAAAGATTGATACAAAGACGACCATGAAAACAAACATGCATGCCAAGGCGATCACAAACACGAAATCGAACATAAAGCCGAACGCGAACGCAAAAACGACTACTTTCATTACAATTACCATTACCACTGCCATTACCATCACCCTAAGCATTGCCATTACATTTACCTTTACCTTTACATTTACCATTACCATAACCGATACCATTACCAATACCATTACCATTACCCTTACCCTTATAATTACCATTAACTTTACCTT